TCAATGCTAAAATTTTTAATTTCCACAAACAACCAAGAAAGGCCCACGCGCACCACAGTGGAATCTAACGTACAGTTGTGATGTCACTCGTGAAAATGTGTTGCAGTCTCGCACTAAAAATGGGTACAGAGTACCACGCGAGAAAGTGCGCGTGAGAATATTGCTGCAGAAGGATAGTGTTCTTTGAGGGGGGGAAAAAAAAAAAAGAAGACGGGCCCAGTGGGCCAGACTTATTTTTCCATTATTATTAGGGTTTTCCTTTTCGCTTCCGAGGCTGGCCCATTTCCTTACACGCCTGTCAATTTTACCGTTTCAAATTGAAGAAGGTAAAATTACATTAATATCCCTAGAATGTTCCAAAAATTGATGAGTAAACGAGGAGCTGCCAACCCAACGGAAGTACTTTTGTAAGGCGTTGAATGTGGCCATTATTTTAACCACTTATTTACAAAAATTATTGTTACCCCTATTATAAAAATTAAAAAAAAAAAAAAAAAAAAAAAAAAAAAAAAAAAAAAAAAAAAAAAAAAGAGAACGAGAGTGGCAATGAAATTGAATTATTTCTACCCAATTCTACCATTGCAGAATTTGGGGAAGTGGAAAAGGAAAGCCCAAATGGAAAGTTTTATAATTTGTGAGGGATGGTTCCAAGATGGAAGGACCAAAAATGTTGCACTTTTAGAATTGAATTTTTTGCCAAATCAAGTGGGTTGAGTTGGGTTGGTGCACAACCTCGGGGGCTTGCACGCTTCTTAATGGAAATCAGATAAAGTGGGTTGTAGCGTATTCTTGTATTGATTAGGCCAAAAGTATTTGATGATCACATGTACACCACAGAGACATTTCAAATGAAATGCAAGCGGGAAGAGAAATGGATGGGAAGGTTGAAGGACAGGAGCCGACAGAGGAAGGTGGAGGGGTGGGTCAGGGAGTGGCAGGTAGCGCACTATAATAGAAGGAACGAGACAAACTCCTAGAAGTTGTGGCATGACATGGATGGACCTCTCTCTAAGTGTCGATTGGGTTTCGAAATAAGAAGTGGACTGGACTGGACTGCAACGAAGGAAAGGCCAATGTTTTTCAGGTGAGTGTGAAGCGACGTCCCTTTCACTGAAATCTCTAAATGCGCAGCAAATGGTGAACTAACAGAGCCCCAGAGTTGGGACTAAGCTTCGGAAGGGGACAGCAGCAGCGGCGCCTTCCTCCTGTTCATCTTTCACCAGCACCAACCCATTTGGGCCCAACACACTCCCTCCCTTTATATCCACCTCTTCCACCTACCCAACTCATTTGGGCCTTCAAATTTTACCCATTTTTTGGTTAGCAATGTCTCACTTTTATTAAATTTTGATTCACAACTATAGTCTTCTTTTAAAATAATCAATGCTATGATCTGTTACTGTATATCTTTTTAATTTAACTTAGAAGCATTTGCATTAGTTTGACCATCTTTGATTTTATTTTAATTTTTCTATTAAAATATTATTATGCATAAAAAGATGACAAAATGATGACTAGGACACGTATATAATAAATATCAACATGGCATTAAAGATAATAGTGAAAGTGTTTATTTTTATTATTAGCGATAACACCCTCTTAATTTATTCCACATTTCCTAATAACGACATGAGAAATGTGCAAATGAGTAAGCACAGGTCAAACAGGTCAACCCATACACCAACTCCATTTTCTAAATAGTGATCCCACTTTGGATTTATATGGAGCTAACCCAAGACTGATCCCATTTGGAATTGATATTGGAATTGTGATGTCACACGTTAGTTGGGGAGGACGGGGAAGACGGCATACACCATCTATAGGAGTGTGGAAACCTTACTCTACCAGACAGACGCGTTTTAAAGTATCGAGAGAAAGTCCAGAGAGAACAATATGTGCTAGTGATGGGCATGGATAATATCTAGAATAATGTCCAAAGAGAACATTACTGAAGTTCCATTAGATTGGAACTTGGAACACGTGAATTTGTAAGAAAGGTAGGTGGGTATTATAAATCCTGGGAGAGCCAATTTGGAGGGGTAGAAGGTCCCCCATCGCGGGTGTGTTAATGAATCAAGTATCCGCATTTCAACGTTCAAAGTCGGTGGGTACATTAAATAAAAATAGCCCCCATCGCAACGCAGACACCGACACCGACACAACCCCTTCCCATCTTCTAAAACAGACAAAATCAATCCCCATTTCACTCTGCCATTTACTCTTCCAATCCCAATGGACCCCAAGGGCCAAATCCAACGTCTTTTTATATCACCAGAGTCAGAGTTGAGTACAAAAGTCAAAGAAATAACTACTTTTCTTTGCCAACAATAATGTGATGTAATAGAAGATTAGAGTAATAATAGGCTACCCCAATGGCACTTCTTTTGCTTTGGTTTTCATCAATTCGGGTGGTGCTACAATACAATGCCCAACAATAAACAGTAAGAGATTCAACACAAAACAAGAAAGATTTAATTTTAAAATTTTTAAAAAAATTCTTCATTCAATTGAATCAACTCTTCTTGCCCTCTGCTCCGTCTTCTTCCAAGTAAGCCTTCTTCCTCCTCTCCGCCCCCGCGAACGCGCAAATCACCAGAAAGCACGTGGCGTAAATCCCATGAATTTTCCAGTTTGTCTTGGGCGGCTGGTGTAGAACCATCCTGTGGAACACCGACACATAGTAATGCAACCCGACTGCATGTCCGACGAAGGTCTGGGCCAGACCCAACATCCTCGGCCCCATCCCACAGTCGGTGGAGAACACTAGCACCAGGTACATCACTAGTAGCAGCAGATACAGGATGTATCCAAGGGTTTGCATCACCTGTAAGCAAATGTAGGTGGATTGCGAGGTGGAGTAGAAAAATTTGAGCGGCTCCAGCCCAGTGACCACGGAGGAGAAGCAGAGGATGCCGAAGTAGATTGCAAGGTACACTTGGATGAAGATTAGGACCTTTTGGAGTGAGAAATAAGCCTTGATTCGATTGAATAAAAGACTCACCAAGATTAACGGAATCAAAATGAATGCGAAGGAGATGAGGGAAGCGATGGTGGATGCGTACTTGTTACCCACAATGGGTTTAAATCCCTTTGTCATTTGTTTGTTGGCTTTCGTAATGTATGCCTTGGAAGTGGTGGAGATTCTCGCAAGGTCTGGGATAAAAGTTTTCTGAAATTTCGTGGTTAGATCTCTGAATTCCGACACCAAATCATCGTCTTCATCTTCGTCCACCCAACTGGGTTTTGCTCTGGTCTGAGCTTGTTTCTTGGGTTTTTCCTGCTTCGGTTTATTCTCTGATTTGGGGTCCTTATTTGGTTTGTCGAGATGGGTGGTTTGGGATTGCTTTGTGGAATTGGGCGTCGTCGTTTTGTTCTTGGGTGTGCTTAGTTTGAGTAGATCTGAGGATTTCTTGGCATAGAACGAAGTGGTTTTGGTAGAATTGGAGGATTTCGATGTGGAATTGAGCTTTGGGAACTTGGCGGTGGCATTGAGCTTCTTCAGCCCAACCTTGGACAGGTTACCGCCAGATGCCAGCTTTGTGGAATTCTTAGCTTTACCAAGCATGGTCTTGTTTTTGGTGGAGAAATTGTTGTTAATGAGCTTGGTCTGGTTTTTTGAGGATTGGGTGGGAGGTTTAAGGAGCTTGTTCTGAGTTTTGGTGGGTAAGGCATCGGTGGACTTGTTGTTCTTGTTCTTGGGGTGCTCTTCTTCCACCGACTCCAAAGTTCTCCTTCCTCCTCCTCCTCCTCCTCCTCGAAACAACCCTCCATTTGGAGATTCAGATTGGGCGCGCACACATAAGAGAGAAGCCACAGCAAAAAGGACCAAAAGAAGAAAGAGTATAAATACCTTGGAAGCTCTGAAACCCACCATTTCTGAAATCTGGATTCTCCTCTGCAAGAGCTGCTCAATTGGAAGAGTGAGTGAAGTAGAAGGAAGTGGGGGAGTGAGGGAGGATGTCAATGCAAAGGTGGGGATGAGGAATACACTTTTAAATAGGCCAGCCTCACATGGCGATGGAATGGAGCAAAGCAAAGCAAAGCAGATCGCAGTATTACTGTTAGTGTACGCGTTTTCACTTGTGTCGTGGCTGCCTCCCATCGCTTTCCGCGATCAATTATTTCATCTTTTGCTCCACTCTTTTTGACAATTTAAACTCATACTCGTAAATACTCCTTTCTCATTTGTTCTTCTTTAAAAGAGTGTACAATTTAGATGACCCTTTTTTAGTATTGCATTTATAATATGGTGATGCTTCAGACCTATAATTTAACTAAAAGTAGATTTCCAACTAACCTTTATAAAGAATATAGTGACAGAAAATAATAATAATAATAATTACTGTCCAATATTTTACTTCTAAGAATTAAAAAATCTAGATACATTAATTATTATTAAACATTATTTTATCTCTAGTAATTTTTATTAAAATAATTTCATTATAAACACATATCCAAAGCGTAATTATTAAGTTAAATAGTTGATGTTTTTTTTTTTTTTTTTAATTTATTTACAAAACTAATCCGCCTGGATTTTTTTTTTGTTTTTATTATCTTGGGCGGGCCCCTCGGGTTAGAACCGAGGATCCTAAGTTATGGGCCCGACGTGGGAGTGAATTTGTGGAGGTCCGCGGAGGCTCATTCCTGTGAAGATGAGAGTAAATAGGAGAAGGGAAAGATTCCACCGTCCGATCGTAGTGGGACCCATGTGAGAATTAAATGGCGAAGTTCACAGAAAGCTCCACCTCATATGGAGCGATGTAGCGAACCTTTGATTAGATTTCCAAAACGACAAGAGAAGGGACCAAACTAGCACCCACTGATTTGTCTTACCTTATGTATCAAAACGCCCATTTAATCACATGTTAATTAATATAAAATCATAGTTTATGAGTGGAAAAATTAACATCCAACTAAAATTTATTATCGATCGATCTACTATTATGATTATAAATCAAAATTTTAACTTACTTACACCAAAGTGAAAGGGAACCAAAACTGGAAACGGAAAGCTGCCTCATAAATGATTCATGCTGGGTTCTCTCTCCATGTGGATCACTAAATGAAGAGATTGTCTATTTTAGCTGTGTAAATTTTAAATGTTAAAAAAAATATCGTGTTGATCATCATTTCCCGCGTTATTTCCCGTAAGTTCATGGTTAAGCATCAGAAACTGTTAGCTGATGATTAAGAGGATGATTTTCATCGCTGTCGTTGAAGTCAAGACTGCCTTCAATTTCATAGATAAGATCGATTTCTGTTTGATCCTTATCATCCACATCTGTTGCCATTGAAATAGTAGTAGTAGTAGTAGTAGTAGACTCCAGCTGCAGCATTTCAGAGTCTATCAGGGCGTGCATTCTAGCTCGCTCTCGGTCTCTTGGATATGAGCAATACAGGAAAGAGTAGATGAAGCAGCACAGTGACATTGGAATACCAATGGCTGTATAGAGTGCCCTGGCTAGTGATTTTGCATTCTCTCTATCAGCTTCAATCTCAGCAGAATCTGAGGATCCTCTTGCAACTGGCTTATATCCATACACATGCTGGGCCAGAACACCAACAACAGGAGGAGCGAACGATGACAGAATCGACTCAAATGATCGATCCAATGCATAGATGCTCGTCCGGGACTTCTCTGGGACTATCTCTGCAAATATTGGACTGTACAATACACCAATTCAGAATGCAGCAAAAACCGTGCATGAACATAAGAATTGCCATATTATATAGAGCTGTAAAGTGCATTACATTTTTGTTCTAGTTGATGAACACATACTTGTTAGTTGCTGGTGAATTCCATGACATGCTGAAACCCATTATGAACAAAACCAGTCCATGCAAGAACGCTGTGGATGGATCGTCCGGCAAAACCAGCAGCAAAATTGCAGCCAGAGGAATGGCAGAACCTGAGCTTATCTGAGACAGAACTATTCTTCCTGAATTGGGAAAGCGTTTTGATAAGATATCTCCCATTCTTCCTCCAAAAAGACCGCCCAATGAACCAGCAATTATAAAGAGAGTCCAAAGAAATCCTGTTTCCTCGTGAGAAAAGCCGATGAGTTCAAGCCACATGGGAGCAAACGACAAAGCCGACCATGGAAATGATCCTGCAACCCCTTGAGCTACTATTATCTGGAAAGATTGGATCCCTAAAACTGACCTTGATTCTTTAACTAGATCCTTCATTTGTGACCAGAATGGCTTGCGTGGTCGATCCTTTGTTGTTCCATCAATCTCGGAAAAGCGTGGATCGTCTGCAAAAAGCCATACTAGCATACCAACTATGACACTAATCAGACCAACGAGATGGAAGGCAATTCTCCATCCGGGGATTCCCATGACAGATGTGGAGGCCATTAAAACAGAAGAAAGACCACCAATGATCGAACCAAGATTTCCAGTTAGTTGTAGCCATCCAAAAGCCAAGCCACGGTTGCTATCATCAGTGGAATCAGCAACGAGGGACTGAATGGAAGGTACCACTATGGCAAGACCGATACCATTTAAGCCTCTGGAAATTGCCACCTAATATGATCATCAAAGATTGCAACGTGGGTTTATAAGTGTTCATTGGTATAAAGCCTTTTGGGAAGTCCAAATCAAAGCCACTAAAGCATATACTCAAAGTGGACAATATCATACCATGGTGTAGAATCGTGATTCCTAAGGTCCAACTGATATTATGTTTTTACTTCAAATTTCACTATTTAATACATTTCCTAATAAGATTACTCAAATTTTGAGGTTAGCGTCCACTAATATTTGAAATCAGAGACATAGATATGCAGGGCTTACAGGAGATGCGTGAATGGAGAGAGACGAGAAAGACGAACCTGCAAGAATGTGGAGGAAAGGGCGACGAGAAAAGTGGCAGCGGCCCACAGAAAAGCACCTAAAGCGATGACATGGGCGCGGTTGTGATGCATAGCTAAGTAAGCAGCTAAAGGGTAACAAGAAGACTGAACTAGAGATCTGAAGAGAGTTAGGGATCCCAAGCCAGTGGGATCGGTGTGAAGAGCGGCTCCAACTTCCTTGTAAACTCCAGGCAACAGGGACTCATCGGCCCTCTCCATGATAGCAGCCAGATTCACCAATATCAATGTCACTGCCTCAGATTTCATCTTGGAACGCTGATTGGTGTCCACAAACAGCCTTCCCCGCTACGAATTTTGAAGCCCTTTGTCCTCAGTCGGCAGCGAGCGGCACGGGAGAAGTGTGTTGACCCAAGGCTTCAGCTTGGGCAATGTTTGTTGAAGCTCCACTTGTTGACCCGAATGAAGGACCAATCTTTTGTTTTTACCACTTGGAGTTTGGATAAGATTTGAAAATTTAACCATTTTGTTTGTATAATTAAATGGGGTTCGCTACCAATTACTTAGTTTCTCGACAACTTCTGATACTAAATAACATTATCTCAACATTTCTTGCCTCAAAAAAAGTGCTTTCAGTGTGAGCCAAGGAAGGGATCTAATTCATTACTTATATCGACAAAATTAGATTCGATATATAAAATAGCGGAGTAACTTTTTAGTTTTTAAGGAAGAATACTGGGCCGGGAGCCCAAATAGAGAATCCACACGAGGCCCAGCCCAAAGAAAGAAGTGAAGTATATGACGCGACCATGACGTGAAGCTGAAACGTGTGGGCATGGGATTGGTTGAAAATGAGTCACCGAAAGCATCCATTCCCATGTCATCCAATCAGATCCTACTACTCAAACATTAAAATATTCGAATCTTGTAATTTTTATGATAAAATTAAATGAGGTTTTAGAAAGGGTTATGGTAATGCTAAAGTCAACACAATTAACGCTTCATTATGATCAAATTAAACTTTAGAGCCTAAATTCTGGAGTTACAAAACCCCATTTCTCATCATTGTTGTATGCCGGACACAAAAAGCTCAATTATTCACCTTTCTAACAACACTAATAATCTAATATATTCTTTCCATTTCTTCTTAAACCTCAATTTAAAATCATACTAAGTTTATGATTTAGATCCCAAAGAAACATGGTATTTTATACATTTTTTTGTCGAGTTGGAAATAATTATGGGTCCGATCCATATCTACTTCGATTAAATTATTGGATTGGACCCATTTTCATGTCCTCCTTTTGGATCACCCTATTTTTTTTTTAGATCTTAATTGAAGTCAATGAGGAGGTGGAGTTTACAAATATAGTAAGAAGCAAATGCGTTGAAGGAATTAGGAGGTTAATCTCGATTACGATAGAGAAGTGGGTGATTATGGAAATTGAAGAAATTGTTGGATTTCACCAGGGTGGTCTCCACCCTGTGAGCTAAGACTAGAGGTGACTTGAATGCGTTGATTACACAGATTGCATGTAAACAAAACTACAATTTCCGCCAAAACATTACAACATTTATGATGGTATTAAAATAAAGACAATGATAGTCCAATCAAGCACCAACTTCGAAATTGGCGCTTCTCCGTCACGAATTCCCATGTGCTTCATCCCAAACATCCAAACCCACTTTTTTTCTTCCTCTTTTCATTTAAATAATTGCATGCATAACGCCTATACTATAAACATTGTTTCCATGCTCAAACATTACCAAATTTCATGTCATTTGGTTCATGTAACCATCATTTGTAAGAGAAAATGGGAGGTAAGCAGCGTTGGATGATGATGAAAGTCCCACGTCGGCTAATTTAGAAAATGATCATGGGTTTATAATTAATAAATACTATGAGGCCTTTTGGGACCGTCCAAAGCAAGGCCATAAGAGCTTACACTTAAAGTGGACAATATCATACTATTGTAGAGAGTCGTATTCGTCTAACATGATATCAGAACCATGCCCTAAAAGGAGTTGAGCCTCTTCGAAGGCATGAGAGTCGAGCCTCAATTTATCGACTAATTTAAGGAATGATGGACAATATGGACAATATCATATCATTGTGGAGTGTCGTGTGTTCGTCTAACCAGCTCTACATGTTAGAGACAGGTAAAAAGCTCTACTTTAATTTGGGGCACCCATCTACGTCAACCTCCGGTTTCCAAACCTGCCTGCAGACTCCGGATCTTTATATATAAAAGTATAATGCATGAATTGGTAACGCACATGAATACAATGCATATGGGAAATAAAATCTACTCGTTTAAAGATCCCAGACAGATTATGGCGGCTACCCATTCCTCAAATCTCGCCTCTAATCGCTCCTAAATTATGATAGCTGTTATTTATTTATTTATTTAAAAAAAAAAAAAAAAAAAAAAAAAAAACATGTGTGTCTGGTGAGAGTGGAGAGAGAGAGTGAAATGAAAGATGAGAAACATGAGAGGCCATGCTGCTTGCTTACTAGGCTACTGCAAAGAAGTGAAGTCTGAGAATGTAGAAACAGTACGAGGATGGTTTAGCAGTAGCAACACCAAGCTGTCTGTTCCCTTTATTATTTGGAAATATTAAGAAAATAAATAAAAATAAGAGAGTGTGAGAATTGGAATAATAATTATAGGAATATGTAAGAAGAAGAGAAAGGTATGAGAAATTGGAAAGAAAAGAGGAAATCCCAAAATGGAAGTGTATTGTATTGTGATGTACATAATAAAATTGGGGAGAGGATGGCGAGTGATTTGGATAATTATACCTTTACTTCGATGTGGGTCTGTGATTCTCATGCCTCATAAGCATCTGGGTATGGTAGATGGTAGATGTAGATGAGGATTAATTAATTAATTAATTAATCAATCTGACGAACAAATCCAAGATTCTATCATACCTTCACTCCTAGTCGTCACATTCTCGGACCCCCCCTTATCACCATGAAAATCCAAAGAAGAAGAAGAGGCCGAATAGTTGTTGTTAACTCTAGTACCGCCACAGTATTTGGCATTCATGGACGCTCCTCCTCCTCCGCCGCCGCCGCCAATGTCCCAACTTGGCGGAAGAATATTCCCAGAAAGGAACTCTTCTGGGAGATGCGTTTGATGAAGATGGTGATTACGGCGGGGCTCGGGTGTGGTTTGGGCAGTATCAAGGGAAACTTGAAGGTCGGAGGCGAGGAGATTTATATTAGGTTGGTGGAGAGGGGGAGGGGGCTGGAGATTGAAAATAGAGGACAGATGATGATTCTGTTTGGGGAGAAGAAAATGGGAGGATGGAGAGAGAAGGGAAGTATTTGTAGAAGTAGTAGTAGTAGTAGTAGTAGTAGTATCAGGGGAATTGAAAGGAAAAGGAGGTAGCTTTTGGGGAAATGGGCGGAGTAGGTAGGGTGGGGAAGAGGTGGAGGAGGTGCCGCCAAAAAGCTCCACTCTTGCTCTGGGGAAAGAGGAGGCAGGTGTGAAGGGAGGTGCTGGAATCCCAGTGAATTCCTGGACCATGGCTCTGAAATTGGAAGTATCTGTGGTGAGGACGGTGGTTGGGGCTCTCCTCGACGCTCGGGTTCGCTTCCTCGGGTTACGAGCAGAGGCGTGGCTGCCAGTACCAGTGTTGTTGTTATTATGGTTATGAACGACGTCGGTTCGATCCGCGGTGAGAGTTAGACCCCGTGGAGCTTGGACATTAGTTGGCGTGACTTGATGAGGGAGTTGCAAATGCAATTGACTATTGGTGGCCGTCATAAACGATTGGGGTTGAGAGGAAGAAGGGAGCATGGAAATGGAGGCGGGAAGTTGGATCGGGTCGTGGTCGGACCTGGGGTTCCTGGAACAGAGGAAGTCGAGATTGGGAAGGGAATTTTGAGGTGATCGAGTGGGTAAATGATGGGCGAAGTTGGAGAAAGGGTCGAAGAGGGAAGAGGAAGAATGAGAGTGGTGCGTCGCTGGAGGATGTACGGATGGTGGGGGTGGGTTGGGCTTAGTAGCTATGGGGCCGACATGCGGTGACGGATTGTTTAAGAAACCAGAGAGCCCCCCCTCCGCGCGTGAATCGTAGTCTTCTTCGCCGCCACTCGAGCTTTGTATACTTGCACTACTCCCAGAGTCCATCACGAAACACCCAAACAAGGCCAAGATATGTACGGACACACACAAAGTATACCACAGGTGCAGAACCAAAAAAAAAAAATAAATTAAAGCTGTTCGGCCGCCGATTGCCCCTTCATAATATCATAAGAAACCCATTTGAGAAAGGGGGAAGGGGAGAAAAAAGCCACCGGAAAAACAACCGACACAATCGGAGGTTGCAGAGGCGGAGTTGTAGAGTGGAAGGTCCACAGAAAACCCTTAAATTTGGAACTGTGGAGAGGAAGAAGACGAAGAAGAAGAAGAGGACAGAAGGGTGGGGGTTTGTGGTGTTTATAATTGGGGGAGAGGGGTTTGCTGTGAAAAAGAGAGGTTGCTTCTGGGCGTGGTTTTACTCGACGGAAAAAGGATCATACGTGGGGCATCCATGTGAGATAAGATGGAAGGAAACTCGAGAATGCTACAAACAGAGTCAAAGTAAATGCAACTTGCCTGCTTTTCATCCGCTCTTAATCTAAATAATATTATACCACCAAAAACCCTATAAAAAAAATCAAATCACAATTATTGACTAAACATTTTCTGATTTTTTTTTAAAAAAAATATAAATAAAAGGAATCAATAGAGAGGGTTGTTGAGTATTACAAAAAGTCAAGAAAATCACCACCATCATTATACTTTTCCACACATATCCCAAGCCCAATTTTGTACTTTCACGTTCTTCTGACATATACCCCTGCGTGTGGTTTGTGCCGTATAATAATAGTAATAATAATAATAATAATAATAATAATAATGTCAATAAAGAGAAGGAAAATAAATAAATAAATAAATAGAAAAAAGGAGAATGAATGGATGATTGAATTTTAAACATAATTATGTTAATGGAAAAATAAGAAAACTGTAAGTTGATGGGTAATGCAGTGTCGGTGCGTGCATGAATTTTATTTGAGGGATTTATTTTTGTTTGTGAACATATTGATTGATAATAATAGGGCTATTAGGCAATTTAATTCAAAATGGGGCAAATGAAAGCGGCTGTTGTTGTTATAACAAGGGGTGATATCCTGGCGTTGTGTTGGGAGTACAAAGAATTCAAAGTAGACATCAAATTTCATTTTCCTATTGGAGATGGGATGTAGCAGAAGCCAAGTTGAATATGTATGCTAATTATGATGATTTTGGACCCCTAAATATTGTAGACAACGCCATATATATCTATCTATATATATATATATATATATATCTATTAGTGTATGGTAATTTATGGTTGATGTTCACATTTTGGAGGTAGAATCATATTGTGTGTGAATAATAATTAAAAAAAAAAGAAAAAAAGAAAAAAAAAAGTGGAATTAAGAAAAGGTTAAAGGTAGAACAATAATTTGGTTATGAAAGAAACAAAAGGAGAATGATGAGACGTTGGCGTCATATTGAGTGAAGCTGTGGGTTGGATTGATGAGCAGGAAGCAGGAACAGGAAGGCCATTAATGAGAGCCATTGGATTGAAGGGGCGGGGGGGAGTGGCCTGACCTCAATTCAAGCCATCATTTGGATCTGATAATTGTAAAAAACTTTGTACCAATTCAGATGGGTATCCATCCAGATGGGGGCCCCGTAATCCACTATCCTCATAATCTGGGTTTGTTTTTCTTCTTTTTATATTTGAAACAGAGAACAGTTCTGGGAACGTGATTCTTACTCATGCCTTTGCTATTCCTGCAATTTACTTCAACTATAGTCAGAAAGGGATTGAGAACGCAATATGGAAAGGAGGAACAAAAAGTTTGGTTAGGCGTCATTTTTTTGTTCTCATTCATTGGTCTTTCTTTTGAATGCCTTTTGTTTATTTGTTGTACAAACAAATATCATTTGTGTCTTGATTACGTCCAAATGTGTGCTCTTGCTTACTCTATAATTGGAATCCATATTCCCATTTATCGCAATTCATTTTCGTTTCATTAAACTTGTGTGTATTTTTTATAATTTAGGAAATGATCATGAGTTTATAATAAAAAAATATTCTCTTCATTAGTATGAGTGGGGCTTTTTGGAGAACCCCTAAACAAAGTTATGAGAGCTTATACTCAAAGTCGATAATATCGTACCATTGTGGAGAGCCGTGTTCGTCTAATATACGAAAATCCGAAAGTTGTAAAGAAATATGGAGTGGTTGATTACATGTTTTGGTCCTTCGTGAAATTGATTGTTTTCTTAATTCTTCAAGTTCAAGATAGAGGCTTATCAAGTATGAAATTGATTATTATTTTCCATTATGAATCCATCAACATCGTCCAATGAATAAGCTTACCCGTACAACTATTAAGATAGGGTCCTATTTAAATTAATATTTTGTATTGAAGGGATGAATAATAATTATAGTAAATAATATGAGCAAGTATGGAAAGTAAGGAAAAAAATTGGTTAAATAAAAATTGATATCTCTATACAAATTCAATTAAGATGAAATGCAAAGAACAGAAGAGAGAATACAGAAAGAGGAATGTTGGCTAAAAATTTTATTGCTGATAACTTCAAGTAGGTACAAAATATAATACAGACAAGATAAGGTTTCAATTTTATATCACTCAATTATTTACCAAATATCTAATTTTTACTAAATATCTTCCAGATATATCTCTATAGATCGAGGCATAAAAAAAATAAATAATAAATAAAAAAAAAAATTTTTGAAGGGAAGGGGGTGGTAAGAAGATTCATGAATGCGAGAAACTTCAAATACAACAAGTTAGAAACCCATCGCCATCGTCCCAAATTCTTAGTTTCTATTTAAAATCATTTTTTAATTTTAGTTGCACATTCCATAATTTGTACCCAAAAAATAAAGCATAAGAAGCCCTAAACAATTTCGACCACTCAACCTCAGGTGGGTATTCGTTGATCCTTATTATTTCCGACAAATCGCATTATTTTTGCAACCACTTCTTCAGAAACAAAAACAAAAAAGGAAAAAAAAAGTTTACCTGCTACAAGGACCACCGCTAATTTTATTGAATTAATGACATTGGAGTTTGATGTGTCGGGGCGGACAAGGTGATGGAGTTGGAGCGTTTGATCTTGAGTCGAGTCAAACTTGGACTGGGTTAGGTTGCTGCTTTGGCCCATCTGTGCTGTGACAGTACGGTAACGATTTTAAATTTCTTTCTGAGGCTTTTATGCAACTGGTTTATAATACCAAAACCTTTGTCCTGTGAGTATGCTCGTTGAATGTTTTTGAAGGGCTTCGTGGTCTCCAATGAATGAGGGAGGGGATGAAATCAATTAAAAGAGACACGAATTTATGAGTTATGGTAGAAAAATATAATTGCTTCCGAATTTTGATTGGGCCTTAATGTATTAGGGTAGAAGCCATCCAGTTATGGGCTCTTTTAGAGGCCGTAGAAGTGGACCGAAATCTTGGCACGGACATCGGGGCATACGCAGTGAAGGCCCAGAAAACATTCTAAAGAATTGGGGGCGGGGGAAGGTGGAGGGAACTGCAATCCGGCGTCGCTGTTTAATCAAGGGAAGCGAAGGAATCTGGGGGCAGCAAGATTGTGTTGCACTTACAGGCTGAAAATTGATATCCTGGAAAGTCAAAATCTATGCCGATTGGGATAGTTTTTGAAGGTAGACAATCTTGGGGAGCAAGGCGCGTAACAATTGAAATGGGTCTTTGGTCTAAGCCACGATTTTTCAGAAGCTCATAAAGTTCTCTTCCCACGGAACAAATATGCTCACTTCTCGTTCTATTTTCTCTCCCTCCAAACTCCCCTCCCCTCATGCTCGCTGTCTACTTCAGAGGTTTTCCCCTTAAACCCTTTACAACTGATTCCTATCCTTCGATTGCCGGTATTATGTTGTGTTTTAATGACCCTGTTTACTGCTTTTATGGCTTTCGATTATCTATCTTCGAATCCGAATGCCGCATGTGCAAACCATTATCCTGCTGAGTTGGTTTGTCATTTGTATCAATGCAATTCGATGTATTGGTTTACCAAGCGGAAGCGTAGGGTTTTCGCCAAATTTTCCCGAGTTTTGCTTCCTAACTTCACACGAGATGTGATTACGTTGAATTGCGATCGTATATGGAGTTACGTAATCGTGGGTCCTGTTTCTTCTAATGTAAAACCATGACATGTAGCTGATAATCAAGTGACTTCCAGTACAGTTATGGGCTAGATTGTCATTGCTTACTAAAAGAAATTTTGATGTAGGTTACATCCATCAATTAGCGTTCGGTCCTGCAGATATTCCACAACATCAAAATACAATAAGGAAAGACCAGAAGTCCATCCTGTCATTTCTGTAGATGCACATACTTCTCGTTCATGGGCTACTTATATCATTGTATGACCTGACCCTCCCTCATCTTTTAGATTTTAAATTCTCCTTTTCAATTTCTTTACTTTACTGTTATTGTTAGTATTTTTGTGCAGCCAGCTGCGGTCATGGGGTTTGTTGGGTTAGCTGCCTTTGTTCATTATAACGATGAGAGAAGAGCTGTCTTGAAAGGTTTTTGTTTGTGCTCTTTTATTTGATATTGGCCACCATTGTTAATTAGTTTCGCTGCAAATAAGTTTCATAATTATTGTCTATATTAAGACTTGAGAAAGAAAATATAGCACAGACGGTTCTGTTAGGACTTGGGATGACCATTATACAATACAAGGTTCTATATAACTATGATTTGTTCGCTTTTAGTTTACTCTATTGGGGGTCTCTTACCACAAGAAACCATAGGTAGCTGTGCAATCAATCATCCAGTACTTGTTGTGGATTTCCTTGACTCCTCTATGCATAGGATAGGGAAATGAGGAAGTAGAAGATTGAAATAAAGCTTGAATGGCCTGAATAATAACCTCTTTTTATATGGATTATGAAAACTTTTAGATTTTTACTTATAAGCAGGCACTACATGTTAGAAATTACAGATATCCACAATGGTATGATATTGTCCACTTTGAGCATAAGCTCTCATGACTTTGCTTTTGGTTTCCTCAAAAGGCCTCATACCTATAGAGATTTATTCCTTACTTATAAACACATGATAATCCCCTTAATTAGCCAATGTGGGACTCCCTCCCAACAATCCTTGACACTATATGCATATCCTATTTGCCATGTCTCTAAACTATACTGGGAATTTATGGGCTTTTACAACTCCTGATATGAATGGCTGTTCTGTTTAGTTTTTCAACCCTGCTGAGACAGTGATGCGTGGCAGTGGTAAACTTGTTGATATTAGCGTTGTAATACTGCATGATCAAGTTTATGCTCTGAAGATTTTGGCACACAAATGACTTTTAATGAGCCTGAGGCAGCATGTGGAATAAGTTTCGGATTGATTTTGGGGACAATATTTAAATGCTTCAGATTTAAAGACAACTAAAGTGTCTTCTTCTACTCAGGGCAGGGAAGCACCTCTGTAAACGTAGTTAAAGGACCAGTTATTGGGGGCCCTTTTGCTCTTATTGATACAGAGAAAAGAATTGTAACAGAGAAAGATCTTCGGGGGAATTGGACTCTCCTCTACTTTGGTTACACTTCGTCTCCTGATGTTGTGCCAGAGCAACTCCAGATTATGTCCAAGGCTTTAAACATATTAGGTATTTCACTACTTAAAAAACTGCAACATATGCACTATCCGTTTATATGGTGTTGCCATTTACTGCCTCTCTTGCTTCATTTATTTGTTTATGGTTCTGTGAATAAGAGTCTAGACATAGCGTCAAGGTTCGACCTGTATTTGTCACAATTGATCCACAACGAGATAACCCATCACATCTTCGTGCTTACCTTAAAGGTCAGTCTTTTCCTCTTCCTGAAGATGATACATATTGTCCAGATAAATATATTTTGGTGGACGTTTCCCTTATTTTTTCCCATCATCTTTGGACTGCAGAGTTTGATCCAAGAATTATAGGACTGACTGGGCCAGTTGCAGCAGTAAGGCAAATGGCACAGGAATACCGTGTTTACTTTAAGAAGATTGAAGAGGATGGCAACGATTATCTTATCGATTCTTCACACAAAATGTAAGCCACCTGACACTGCTGACTGTGTTTTTCTCATTAGGACTTGAATAATAATGTATGTATAATGTGGAAAAACAAACAGGTATTTGTTGAGTCCAAACCTGGAGGTTATGAGATGCTTTGGAATCGAGTACAATGCTGAAGAGCTATCACAAGCCATACTGAATGCACTACAGAAAACTGCTCACTAATTACCAACAGGTCTTCAAGTTCTTTCCTTTGCATTCCTATTTGTTGTAAGCTTCTTTCTAGTCATTCAGTGAAAGCCTTGGAGGTGTTAGATTGAGTTTATTACCTGAATTTCAACCCTTCAGATGTCCATTAGTAGTATAATAGTGTAAACAGAAAAAGGCAATTTTTTTGTTCAACTTTGTGAGTTGGGTTGGGATAAAATAATAATACAGCATCACTATAATCCGTTGAACTCACCAACTGCTGCTTCAACTATCTGATGAAATTTTGTTCGGCTCGAATGAGGTGCAAAAGCTACCGAACATGAAGGGGGCTTGGCACAGTAAGTTGATTTTGATTCTATAATTTACCCTCCTCTAGAACCAAGAAAGTTCCACCAAATGATTTTAAGCAAGCAATGGAATTCATTTGTAATTCTGGTTTTGGTCCCGAATTTGCAACTAGAAATGGATTCAAACCCAACCTATTCGATTATGAAAGACATGGGTTTGGAATTCTAATATTGGGCCTTACATACTCCATTTCCATTTAGGTTTTTCGTATGCTTTCATATTTATTCTTGTAGTGATTTTTTGTCTTTTGATTTCAGCCTCTGGTAGAGGTAACTTCAATTTTGATGTTGAGAATATAATGATTTAATGAGTGGGCTCAAATCACGTAGTTACCTCTATTGTGTTGGATTATTCTCTGAAGATATTTGTTGAGTTGATGCTACAAACAACACAAATGATACAATAATAGTAAAGTTGAATGGCCCATGTGGAGATGGAACTTGAAAATTGTGCCCACACATGGCTCCCATGCCCGAATGGAAATTGGAAAGAGACAGGGACACGATTGCAGACTGATGCGTTCAACACACGAAGACCCAGCTGGGTGCCTAACACTTTGAAATTGGCGGCACACCAAAATAATATAGGTCTGGATATTTTTGGGGCTCAGTTTCGTGGACTTGTTGGATTTGTTTGTTGTTTGGCCCGTTATTTGTTATGGGCTCAGTGATGCCTAACTCCCCAATTCGCTTCACCCAAAGGAACTCTTATTATTAGATTGATAAAGAAGAGCTTCATATGTGCTAAAACACACACACTGCTTAATTACATTAACTTAGAACAAAATGTAGGAGTAAATAAGATGGCCATGCAAGGGAAGAAAAAAGAACCTGCAGACCACAATGGACCATATAGAACCCATTACAGACAAACTGCATCTCCCTTGAAAACAGACTCTTTTCATTGACTCACCACCCTAATCTTTCACTAACACCAGACCTCTGCAAATGCCTAAAATTTCATTGCAGAATCTTAGCAACAAACTACACAACATTACTAATTAACACTCCGATTCGACCATTTGACTCAGAGCTGCCCAATCAATTTCCACGGAAGGAAACTTCTCCAAACAAAATGCTTCTCCTTCACCCCATTGGGAATCTGAAAAATCCAAGAAGCTAATACTTGATTCAGGGGATGATCCGGTGGACAATTCTTCAGACCGTGAAGGAGATGAGGATGAGAATGAGGATGAGGATGAGGTCTCCACTTCGCTATTCAATTCCGGTTCCCAATAATAGTCAACCACTAAGTTTGACTCCGATGGAGGTGGACTGGTGTTTGCCTTTTCATCCTCAGCAGAACAGAGCTTCTCTGTTTTCCCCTGTTTCAAGCTCTCACAAATTGCTTGAAGTTTCGCGTCCACAGAAGGGTGAAGAGGTTTGAATTCTCCGAATTGGTGTTTGAGATGTGGGAAATTGAGCCTGGCAAACTCCCCACGGAGTTTGTAAGCAGCTTTGTCATAGGCTAAAGCAGCCTCCTCGGACGTGTCGAAGGTCCCAAGCCAAAGCCTGGTTCGGTTCTTTGGGAGTCTGATTTCTGCCACCCATTTTCCCCAGTGCCGCTGCCGGACTCCCCTGTAGAGTTTAGTGGGCTTAGATGGAGAGCCGATGAGCTTCATGGGGATGGATTTGGGGGCAAGGAAGTTACAATATTGAGACTGGAAAGAAGAAGAAGAAGAAGAAGAAGAGAGGGAAGACATGGTTTGTGGGGGTAGTTGGATTTGAGCTTGAATTTGGCGTATCTGAGAAGGGGTGAGATTGTTTAGGCCGATTGGACCTGATTGCTCAAGACCCATTTTCTCAATTCCCGAGAAGCCTTGAGAAAACAAGCAGGTGCTCGACGGGGAGCAAACATCAGGGCTTAATCTTGGCTGACAAAAAACAGAAGAAGAAGAAGAAGAAGAAGAAGAAGAAGAAGAGTAGGAGGATGAAACAGCACTTTTCATAAAAGGTTGAAGTGCCTTCATTAATTCCTCGCTAAAAGGATCCGAAGAGTAAAACTGCGTTGAAATTCCAGTGTAAACATCTGTAGCTGCAGCCATGATTGTTGTCAAGAAACTTCAGCAACGCAATACAAGATCCAAAGATAACAAAGTTCTAAAGCTTCCTAAAACCAAGCTGAGGGACTTCAAAAACACCCTCGAAGTCGATCAAAGCAGAAGAGGAGGAGGGAGAAAAAACAGTAGAAAACCAAAAAACCGCAAATATTTACGAAGAAAAAAAGGAGCAGCAGCCTTGTGGGCCTATAACACAAAATGGTAAACTAAAATGAAAGAAGAAAAAAGAAAGGGAACTCAGAGAAGCGGGGAGAGTAGAGAAGGGGGGGTGGGGGGAAATGGAAGCACTCGATAATACTTGCACAATCAAAACAGAGGAGAGCAGAGGAATTAGTTTCCCTCGTTTCTTCGTTTTACGCCCAAATTCAACTCGGCTTGCAAATACAGGGACCCTTCCCACCGTTTATATAACCCCAAACCTCCGCCCCTTTCTCTCTCTCCTACCGCATGTTCCTCCGCCCAATTATCTCGTAAACCTGAAGATAACACAATTCGAGGTGGAAACTCCAACCAGATAAAGCCACGTCAGGATATACGGACACGTGGCAGAAGTATAGCAATGGCCCACTTGCAAAATTTCAGTGAATTGTATTTGGCTGGGTATAGAATGGCACGCGCAGCCACGTCATTTTCTTATTCCTTATCCTATCGAATCAATTTGTAACGCCCACCATAAGATGACCCTCTGATTCAATTAGCTTTATGTTTTGATATGCCACAACCCAAAAAAGAAAAGAAATAAATAATTTGAAAATGATGCTCGATTATATAGTATTTAATTAAGGATGACATGCTGTTTGTTTGTTTGTTTCTAACTTAGGCGTGGGATTAATCATTATTATTAAACATAACAATATAAGTTAAGAGAAGATAAAAATGGAAAAATAATGAATTAGAGGAATTGGTGGGGATGGCGACAAGGACAAACGAGAAAGGGACATACAGAATGGTGGGGTGCAGAATTGCGGCGGCAGGGTTGGAATTAAGGTGAAGAGCTGCTGCGTGGCCTCTTTCTCTACGCACTCACCAAGAGCCACATTCTGTTCTTCACGCAAATGGATGGCCTTTCCTTTGCTTACCTTAACCGCAGTTAAGTCAACCCACATCAATCCCAACGCCTGGAGTTGATGCAATTACACTATACACCCTGGCCCCTCCTCTCTACCCCTCTGCGTACAGACCAAGCCATGCCAATGCTATTTCCGATCACTAAAATGGTGGGTGGGTCCGACCCTCACGCGCTCCTTCTGCCAACTTAGACGCGCTCCTTCCATCTAAGCCAATTTGCATTACTTTTTTTCTTTTTTATTTAATCTAAATACGATTCCCGCAATTTCAATGGTTCTCTTTACCAAAATAAAGTTTCCATATATATTTTAATCTTTACTTTTATGGTTTACCAAGTTTTCAATTCCATCCCATATATTCTACTATTTTTTAATTCGTCCTTGTCTATCTTTTTTTTTCCTTTTTTTAACCAATGTATTAGGTATTATATATGCTCTATAAATTTATCATCAATCAACTTAAATTACATTGGTTAACAGGGATAGTACTAAAAAAAACCTGAGTGGCTAAATGTGAAAAATATAAGAGTAATTTTAAAACTTTTTTTTTTAAAAAAAAACAATAATTACTAAATTGAAAGAAAAATGGAAAAGGTGCCTTGCTTTAATTAGGAGTAAATGACATTTTAAAATATGATATTGATTATTTTTCTTATATTTAAATTAAAGTCTAAGTCGAACATTTAAATGAAAAATATTATCCATAGTAAGAGAGAATTTGGCCTCTTTGGGGGGGCTAATGGCCTCTTTGGGGGGCTAATTTGCAAGGAAGGAAAGAGTTTAAAGACATTACTATATTCACGAACAGCTCGTTAATATCGATTTTCCTTCTTATAATATGAACAAGTTATAAAAGCGACCTTTGATAAAATAAAATATTTCACCATTTTTCCACTTGGACAATTAAGAAGGGAGAATAAGAACGGTCCTATATGCACTAACTAATTTGATTTTCCATTATAAAATTTTCAAATTTCATCTCAATATGGAAGCAATAAGTAGGTTAAAAACATAAACAAACAGTTAAGTTTGTTAAAGAAGCAACATTGTCATTTAAAAATGAATAAATTATAAACAAATAGTAAATAATAATAATAATTGATCTCACCAAACGCATTAAACAACTTTAGACTTACTCTTCAAAACGCAAGTTGAGGTTGAAAATGATTCACACCATGGATTTTCTTTATAAAAAATTAGACAATGCTTAGAATTAGATGAAAATATTAGAAACTTAATTTAAAATATTACTACTGATTGCAAATGAATACATTGGAAAAAGAAATGCTCGGTTTCAAACTTGAAACTGAAACCCAAAAATGTGGATGTTCGTAAGGTGATTATACAAATAGCGGGTTTTCTTGAAGAAGAAGCAATTAAAGAGTAAACGACAGCAAGGATCCTTTAAAAAATGACGACTCCTTCACATAGTCTAAATGTTGCCACTAGGAGGATTCAGTCAAATTCAACACATTAGAGGCTAGAGAGAAAATGGCCAATAGGCAATGGGCAATTAGAAAATGCAGCAATAACTGACCATATGCTTGCAGGCACCGCACCATACCGCACTATGCTTTATTGAAGCCAATTAAAATATGAACAGAATGCCGGTGATAAAGCTTCAAACACAATGATAGTGCTAAATAAGTCAAGAAATTGGAGAAGCCAATGGAAAATAATATTAACTATTGAGAATCCCTAAGTTGACGTTGAGAAAA